GAGCACAGTTAGACACTCTGTAATTGGATAATAGTTTACTTGGGCCTTGATCATTGTAAGCAATACTACCTGGGAGGCAGCTAGATTGACTCTCACATCTACAGATACATAAACCAAGAACGAAGGAAGGAAACCACTGATATTGTCCCAGGAACGGGATGTTAGCCTATCAGCAAGCCAGGCAGTGAATTTCCAGCATTCAGACTTCCACTCCATCTATCCAAATGCTCTAGTGGTACAATAAAGGTTTTATAGCACGTGGCTACCTCTAGCACTGTAGTGTCAATCCCATTACATTTAATGAGTACTAAAGGCTTATCTGTCTGAATTAACTTGTAAGGTAGATGAGGTAAACTGCATTAAGCCCCATTGTGTACAGAATTAAGGCAGCCTTAATTCAATTCAGGTTACTTTCCTCCCAGAATGAATGACTCCAAATCAGATTAAGGCTGCTTTTATACTGCAACAGAATGTCCATGCTGGGCTTTTAAAACAGTTTAACAAATCTACATTATACTCACACCTTTCAATAATTTGGATTAGTTTTCTTGAAGTCTCTTGTAGTGAATTATAGGAGACTCTATGCAGGGAATCTGTGTAGGTTTTCTAGAATGCTGTGAACTCACATCCTGGCTTACTGTACACTAACTGCTTCTAAAGACATGTAAATACACATCATTTTCTCTGCTGGATCTGCTGCACAGTGCTCTCACTTCTGTGAAGGAAAGAGGTACACAGCCTTTCATTTTCACTCTCCTGTTGCTGCTCTGCCTGCTTCTTAGTGATCTATTGCTAAGAGTGATAGGACCAGATGGAGAATATGGTCAGTAAGATCAGTCTCTGGGATTCCTGCCCACTATCTCCCCCTTTCATTCCTATCTCTATACCACTGAGCACTGCTGCCTCACTCATGTCAGACCAGTTTCTTTATCCTCTTTGCAGAGTGGATGAAGAAAAAGCCACATAGTGCAACTGAGAACCCATCATCGAGAAGTGGCTGGTAAAGGACGCTGGAATTGCTGCCTTGTCTTATCAAGTCACAGCCCAACTAAGATTGATGTATCTTGTTTTCTCTGTCCAGCAAAACACAAGCATTACTTCTGGTTATTCTCTACCAAATGAATGAAGATCTTGTCTTTTTCTCAGAGATACATTGACTGTCCATTAGTTCCTTTCCAGTCCTCTTCCACTGATATAAACAACCCCGCAGAGTTTGTGGCAAAAACAAATGTAGGTCATAAGAAAAAAGAAAAAGAGAAGAAAGGAGAAGGAGATGGAGATGGAGAAAGAGAAGAGGAAAAGGAAGGGGAAGGGGAAAGGGAACAGGAAGGGGAAGGAGAACGGGAAGGGGAAAATAAAGAGAACAAAAAAAAAAGAAAGATGCTTAATAGTGAGAACAGGCAGTTGGCTAAGTGCACTTTCAGTCCATGAATACATTTCAGCACTTCTGCATAAAGGGAGTAAGCTTTTTTTCTTATTGTTGTTGTTTCTTCTGTGTTTAACTGACCAGAAATGCTTGCCTATGCTATATGATGTTAATTCCTATATTCCAAGCATATTTAGATCCTTTGAGGTACGCTATAAATGGGCAAAACAATATTCAGACTCCCCAGGCCATCCTGAGCCCTTATGATCCACCCTAACAAAAATAGATAGATAGATAGATAGATAGATAGATAGATAGATAGATAGATAGATACTGCATGTAGCACTTTTCTCTCTGCATACACAGAATTATTGTAATTCTGGTCATTAAACATAGGTATGTATAACCAACTACAACAGAAGTAGTCAAAGTGAGGCTTCATGTTCCAGATACTTCTTTCTCATCTTCAGTTTATTTTTCAGTCCAAAAGCATTTTATTTTTGCTGTTGCACAATTTATTATTGCTGTTTAGTTGGTTGATTTTTTTATAAATTGAGTGCAGCACTCAAGTCCATTTTGACTTGAGAAGTCATATACTAGAGTACAAGAGTTTAGGAAGATCAGGACCATCAGATGTTAGTGAGGAGAGAGGTATGCAATGGTCAGAGGAGTGAGCAGGGAACAAGAAGAAAGCTTTACAACATCTATCTAGCGGAAGTAATGCCCTGTTTTATTTGATAGTTCGCATTTCTTGCAGGAGTTAAAGCTCGGTTTCTAATCACTTTATCATCATTAAGACTCACAGAAGCCACACAGTGAAAAATAAAGCCAAGTCTTTCTGGAAACCTGTTAGGTCAGGCTTGTGCGTAACTGCAAAGTTAGGGCTCTTTACCACTCTAAGTGCCTTGTTTATGCATATGTGTAACACACACACATGCAGACACACTGCAAGAGATTATTCTTTTACATCACTGTCTCAAAGCTTGCTGAGGACACAGATGAACAAGTCCAAACAAGTCCTGGAAAAGGGTTGAGAAATCCGTTGTCAGAGGGAAGCAGATGGACAAGGCCAGAGGCAACGAGAGAGAGAGATAGGCCACAGATTAATGGCCAGGAAGCAGTCTTTTGTGTGGACTTATCTCAGGGGAGATGGCCATCTCAGGGGGTACTGCACGTGACTCTTACCCAAGCACCCAGGAATGCCATGATGGCAGAAGAAGTATAAAAAGGGGACCAACAACCATGAAGTTAGGTTTCTGACAACAGATTCCTCACGACCTGAGGCCTGCATGCTGAAGAAGAACAAGAAGGTGTCTGATACCCGAAGCCTCACAAGCTGATGCTTGCATGCTGACGGACTCTCCTGGGCCTGCTACCTGAAAGCTGCTGCTTCCTCCTGGACTTACCCTGTGGCTTCTTCCTGCTACCTGCTTGCTGCCCAAGGAAAGCCACACTGCTGCTGCTTTCCCCCTGCGCTTTTGCCTCGGACCATTGGAACGGGATGCTGATGGATCCTGTTGAGGACTACCCCAGCTCTACCCAATTTTTGCTTCTTTCCTATCTTTTCTTTCATTCTCTTTCCCTTCCCCATCTCCCTGATTAAGATTTGCAAAAAATTGGTTGGATCAATGTTTGAACCATTGCTTCTTAATCTCACACCAGGTGTACATATGTCAAAGAACCTCCTCTCCTTTCTATAAACTGGAGTGAGACACACATGTACATATTAATACACATATATACATATATCATGAACATAAGAGAAAAAATGTTCTGTACAGTGTGGAAGGAGAAATGTTCAACAGCACTTGGCCACATGCTAAGTGCAAAATGAAGATACTCAATGTATTACATTTAGAAAATAAAGATTAGTGCCTACCTTAGCTTTGATCAAAGATTATGATCACCCAGGGCCTAGCAGTCAAGGCTGGCACATTGCAGAACATACCTTCTCCTAGCTTTCTTTCCTCCACAAATACCATGGTAGATGTACAGCAAAGTTAGAGAAAAGCAAAAAGAATACAGTTTGAAGGATATGTGAAAGGATTTAAGATCTGACAGGAAAGTAAATGGAAGAGGCCTGGATGGGAGAGCACTGGAAAGCTTCTGTTGCCTACAACCTGGGTAATCTAAAGGAAAGAAAAGCAAAGTAGGCAATCTGCTGCCTGGCTATGTGATGTCACAGATAATGCTAATCCTTAGAGTCTCCTGTGTTCTGCCATGCTGGGACTAGCTGTCAAAAGCTATCTCCTGGAATCATAGAATCACAGAATCATAGAATGGCCTGGGTTGAAAAGGATCACAATGATCATTGAGTTTCAACCCCCCTGCTATGTGCAGGGTCGCCAACCACCAGACCAGACTGCCCAGAGCCACATCCAGCCTGGCTTTGAATGCCTCCAGGGATGGGGCATCTACAACCTCCTTGGGCAACCTGTTCTAGTGTGTCAACACTCTGTGTGAAAAACTTCCTCCTAATATCTAACCTAAACCTCCTGTCTCAGTTTATTTCCTCTTGTCCTATCACTATCCACCCTTGTAAGCAGCTGTTTCCCCTTCTGTATATAAGCTCCCTTCAAGTACTGGAAGGCCACAATGAGGTCACCTCAGAGCCTTCTGTTCTCCAAGCTAAACAAGCCCAGTTCCCTCAACCTTTCTTCATAGGAGAGGTGCTCCAGCCCTCTGGTCATCTTAGTGGCCCTCCTCTGGAACCGTTCCAAGAATTCTGCATCTTTCTTGTGCTGGGGGCTCCTGGCCTGGAGGCAGTACTGCAGATGGTGCCTCACAAGGGCTGAGTAGAGGGGGACAATCACCTCCCTCTCCCTGTTGGCCACCCCTTTTTTAATGCAGCCCAGAACACAGCTGGCCTTCTGGGCTGCAAGCGCACACTGCTGGCTCATGTCCAGCTTCTCATCCACCGGGACCCCCAAGTCCCTCTCTGCAGGGCTGCTCTCAAGGGCAGATACAGTGAAGGCAGTGATATCCCTATAAGCAACCTAGAGAAACTTTAAGTCTTACATAAACACAGCTGCAACTTATTTGGCAAAAGAAAATGCTAAGCCTTGCAACAGTGAGTGGCAAGGGAAAGACATTATCTCACAGGGTGCTGGTTTTCTTTGCCTGCCTCTTCTGGATTGCTCTCACTCATGGCTGCTCTTTCCTTCCTTCTCTATATCTTTCTGTGCTAAGCCAAGAGGCAGTGCAGAACTATTCTTCCGATGTGTTGGTCCTTGCCCTTTCTTTACCTCTGATCAGCTCAATTCCTGGAGGCACTTTCAGCAGTTTAGAGGATAGAAGATAAAGGCACTGCACAACTACTTATATCAATTAGTTAAGTCTCTTCAGTGAGTTTTAGGGGAATACAAAAAAATTTCAAATGACTGAAAAACAAAACAAAACAAAACAAACAGCTCCTGCAATTTGGATGCATATAGTAGATAAGTTTCATTTACATTCTGAGAATGCACCAAAAAGCATGCATCTACATCTTTCAAATATAAAGTATACTAGGTTTTAGGTGCTGCTATATATAACTTGTCTTCTTAGTTTTCCATATAGCTTTCCCTTTAAGAGATGGGATATATCCCTTTCTGACAATGCCTGGACAAAAGCCAACATGGTTTCCTGAGCAGTGCAGGAAACAGGTTTCCTTAATCTTCCATTCAGGCCTTTGATCTATTAAGCACTTTTTAATTTTTGGTTTTTTTTTTTTATTTAATGATTATTATTGAATTCATGCATTAATTAAAGTTACACGTTATTCAAATAGGCCATAATGCTGAATATTTGAACATGCTTTGATCTCCAAAAGTTATTGTTCCCATTTGACTAACATACACTTTAAAGTACTAGTCAACAATTTAGTAAGTTAAGTAGTGCACTTCTGGTGAATGCAACCCAAAATAAAGAAAAAAGGAAAAAAAAAAAAACAAGAGAGATAAAGGACCTATTTTTAGAAGATTCATTTCAAACAAAAGCTTATCCATTATTGTCTGAGGTAAAGTTTCAGGCATGCAATTATAAAATAAATAGCATCAATTTCAAACATGCTTATATTAAACTATATTGTGCTGTCTTGCAACAGAAGAACTAGAAGTTTTGTATACAGTTCTGGATAGGGAAAAGTGCATTAAGATCATCTGCGCATGAGAGAACTTAGCAGCAGTGCAAATGTTTTGCCTTCAATTCTGTTTGCTATTTTTAAATAATTATTCTATGGATAGAAAAAAGACCATCCTTAAGTGTATTTAAATAAGGTGCTGATGTGTAGGTAGGAACTATGTACTCTCTCACATAGGGTGCGGAAGGAAAATTTGCATCCCTTCATAAAAACAGTGGTAAACGTTTGCTGCATGTTAGTACTTTTTTTACTATTATCTGATTCACTCCCTTGCAACTGTGCATGTTTGCAGGATATTTTAACTGGAATCCATGCATACGCTTCAGTTTTAAAAATTGTCTTCCTTAGTTGAACTTAAGTGTGTCAAAAAAAAAAAAAAAAAAGTGGATGGAACAGGAAAAGTTTAGGTCTAGCATCATTCAGTTTAAAACCTAACTAGTTCAAATAATGATCATTTACCAAATGGAAAATGTGGAGTTTTTGAAGGTAAACCAAATTTTATCATTCATGGATCCTGGAAGCCTCTTTATCTCTGAACAAAAACTCACAATGCAACAATGCATTTACGAGGTAAATAAAGCATTCAAAGACTATCAGTAAAGCATCTACAAAGTGTGACTATGTCACTTAAGTCTTCAAGCTGTGAGTGGGGATTTTGGTCTTTTGTTTATACATCAGTCAGCAGCTTGCTTTTATTAACACAGTTTTGGTTGGCTACAGTGCAGTTGCCAGTTCTGAGATTAGCCTCCCTAAAATTGTCTATGCTATTATTCATATCCTCTTCGATTTCCATATACTCAGATTTGCTGATAGTGGAAGAGCTGCGGCGACTGAGATCACTGTCAGATGCTAAATTTGGGGAGCTAACATGAAGTAACTGAGCCTGTTCTTCCCCTTCTGTTTCTCGGTGGTAGAAGTAGTTGAAGTTGGACACGATGACAGGTACAGGCAGGGCAATTGTCAGCACACCAGCGATGGCACACAAGGAGCCTACGATTTTGCCTCCAATTGTCACAGGGTACATGTCACCATAGCCCACAGTGGTCATGGATACCACCGCCCACCAGAAAGCATCAGGGATACTTGTGAAATGAGACTCAGGTTCTTCAGCCTCTGCAAAATACACCGCACTAGAGAACAAAATCACCCCAATGAAGAGGAAGAAGATTAGTAAACCTAGCTCTCTCATACTTGCTTTGAGGGTCTGTCCCAGAATCTGGAGGCCCTTAGAGTGCCGGGAGAGTTTGAAGATTCGAAAGACTCTTACCAGTCTGATGACTCTCAGAATGGCCAAGGAGGTGGCCTGCTCTCCCTTCTGAGTCCCCTCCCGCTCAGCCATCTCAGTGCCCAAGGTGATGAAGTAAGGGATGATGGCCACAATGTCAATGAAGTTCATTATATTCTTGAAGAATTCAGTCTTGCTGGGGCAAGCAAAGAAACGCACCACCAGCTCAAAGGAGAACCAGATGATGCATAGGGTCTCCACAACAAAGAAGGGATCTGTGAAGATATTGGATTTGTAGACCTGAGTGGTGTTGTCAGTACGATGCACTGTATACTCCTTGTCCTCCTTCAGCTCAGGTAATGTCTCTAGGCAGAAGATCACAATGGAGATGAGGATCACCATGACAGAGACTATTGCAATGACCCTTGCAGGCCCAGAGCTTTCTGGGTACTCAAAGAGGAGCCATACTTGACGCTGGTACTCTCCCTCCGGCAAGGGTCTCTCCTCATCTTTGATGAACCCTTCATCTTCCCGGAACTTCTCCATGGCTTCCTCACCCAGCTCATAAAATTTTATTTCCTCAGAGAACATGTCCAAGGGAACATTGACCGGCCGGCGAAGCCGTCCCCCAGACTGGTAGTAGTAGAGGATGGCATCAAAGCTGGGCCTGTTTCGATCAAAGAAGTACTCATTGCGCAAAGGGTCGAAGTACCGCATGCGCTTCTTGGGGTTGCCCAGCAGTGTGTTGGGGAACTGGGCTAAGGTCTTTAGCTGTGTCTCAAAGCGTAGTCCAGCAATGTTTATCACTACCCGCTCACAGCATTCATGGTCATCATGGGCAGCAGGCTGGTAGCTATCCTGGGGGTGACCAGGTAGCACAGAAGTCTCATCCATGTTCTCTCCAGCCATCACAGTCATTGTGGCACAGAGAATGAGGGACCCAGGCTGAAGTGAGGAGAGGAGAGGAGAGGAGAGGAGAGGAGAGGAGAGGAGAGGAGAGGAGAGGAGAGGAGAGGAGAGGAGAGGAGAGGAGAGGAGAGGAGAGGAGAGGAGAGGAGAGGAGAGGAGAGGAGAGGAGAGGAGAGGAGAGGAGAGGAGAGGAGAGGAGAGGAGAGGAGAGGAGAGGAGAGGAGAGGAGAGGAGAGGAGAGGAGAGGAGAGGAGAAAGTGCAAAGGCAGTTCAGTGGAGGATGGTGGGAGGCAGGGTGTGGAGATAGGCTTGGAGACTGTAGGATGAGTGGGAATGGAGAAGCCTAAGGAAGGACTGGAAGAGAAGTCTAAAGCTGGAAATATCCACAAGGGGAAAGAAAAGGTGGGATGCAGGGAGTGGCGTAAGGAATGAAGGGACAGTAAAGAAAGAGAGAAATACCTTTGGGGGGTGAGGGCAGAGGGCAGGTAAGGCGAGGGATCCTGTCCCCCCAGGCTAGGGTGTATGGGGTGCACCTCCTGGCTGGGGTCCCCTCCCCAGCTGTCTCCTTTCGCCTTTAATTCGATCCGGCCACTTTTCTTGCCAACTTGATCATCACTGTGGATGCTGTTTTGAAGTTACCATACACACACACACACACACACAAATAAATTAATAAATAAATCACAAGGTGGCTGGGAAGCAAGTCCTTGCAATGCCAACTCAGCAAATTTCCATTGTCTGTCCCCCCCCTCCCACTCCCCCGCTTCTCCTTCCCCCCACTGCCCCGGTCCTCTCGTGCATTGGGGAAGAAGAGATGGAGATATTCAGTGTTTAAAGACATAAAGCTTGAATGCAGAATGGAGGCTGCCAAGAGAGAAAAAAGCATCATAAATCAACCCTCAAGCCCCACTACACATACATACTCCACCGCAACGGATTAGCTTTCACATCAGCAAGAATATCCTGCTTTGCTCACTATGGCAGCATATGAAAAGCCTTACACATTCCTGTACATCCCTGAATGCACAACAGCACCTCCAGGACAGGAAGAGGTCAATATGAACCTGCAGCCTTGCTGTGCTCTTCTTGAGTGCTTCCATGGAGGGCTTACCATGCAACTTCACTGGGATCAGCTCCTGCTGTAAGTTTTCTGACCACCATGCATCCCACTTTGCAGATGGTAGAGACTTAGCTGAGCACTGACAACTTCATCACACAGACTGAAGGGATATGGGGAGAAGGAGTGAAGCATCTCCCCTCTGCTTTGCAGCAGCTAAATGCAACTGAGACGGAGACATAGGAATGAATTTTGACATTCCAGACCCAAACTGTCAAATTAGGGTCCAAGAGCTGGGGAACAGAGGGGGCTTTTCCTTACCTGTTCTGTGTGAGATGCGCTCATTAGGAACAGGAGCCAGTGCCAGAATGCGACAAGCTGTCTTGCAGCACCATCCAAAAGAATCTGAGCAAAACAAAAACCGCAGTGGCAAACACAACCCTCCTCCTCTTGCACCTTTCTTAATAACACAGCGGTCACCGTACAGCACTGCCTGCAAGACACTTAAATATTCATGCACTGAGGCTGCACCAAGGGCGAGTGGGTTTAAGTAGTTTCTGCTGAAAACCGCAGTGAGGGAGTCGGCGGGTGGAAGAGAGTGCAAAGTGTCTTTTTCCGAAGGCTTGAATTAATAAACAAAAAAAGGTTGTCCTAAGTATCTGCTGGTTCTCCCGATCTCTTCCTTTAAGACATCTGGAGAAGGAGCCGGGTGCTGGACAGCGTCGGCTAGAGAGTCGTGAGAGATCCGCAGTCCCGCAACCGCATCTCCGGAGTGGCCCTTGGCTCGTCCCAACGGCAGCAGCAGCAGGAGGCAGGAGATGGACGCATGTGGCAAGAGCAAATGGACTGCTGAATACGTAAGAAAGAGGAGCAAACTCGATCCATGTCTTGACTCTGCAGTATCAGCAGAAACCTGAGAGCTGTTTGATGCAGCTCTGGCAGCGGGAGGGGGGAAGTTGCAGAGGAGGGGGGCGGGCACGCTGTCTACCGCACCACACTCCCCCGATTCGCGAGCTGTCCTCCACCGCCAGCGAGGCCTCTGCCGCCGCGGTACACCGAGCGCCGCGCCCCCGACGCAATGCGGGCTGTAGTCCCAGCCTCATGGGCCCGGCCGTTGCGCGCCGGACAGCCTGGCGGGGTGCGGCGGGGCAGCGCGTCAGGGACGGGGGTAAGAAGCGGGCATCTCCGCTAGGTTTGGAGCGTCATCGCTCCAAAGAAGAAAAGAAAGGCTGGAAATTCAGGCGGCCCGTGCAGGTGCACATATAACACTCCTTCGCCGGGCCGGGCGGGGGGTGTAAAGGTGGTGGGGACCGAAGGAAGTGCGCAGCGGCCGCTTTTTCTCGGTGGCCAATCTCGGCATTCGTAGAGGAGCAGCGGGATCGGTTCAGAGCTCTGCACGTACTGCACGGAGCCGTTCTGCAGCCACGGCGGGCGGCGGCTGCCCCTGAAGAGTCCGCACTTCCCTGCTGCACGGCCTACCGCATTCGGACCTCGACTCAGGCTGGGGCTCATTACTGTGTTATTCTGCCAGAATCGGCCAGCGTTCTCGAGCCGTGTGAGTGGAATGGGGAACAAAGAGTTAATCAGCAGGCAGTATTAGAGGGAAATTGCCTTTTATGCTGCTTTATCCCATGAATTCATTTAGTTGATGAATCACATAACTTTGAGAGGGAGAAGACCTATTATGTCATCAGCTTCCCTCCTCTGCCAGTGCAGGACTGTTCTCTGCAGTATATGATAATATCCATTATATAAAAGCCTACAGCTCACTTTGTCAAAGCAGGAGTTATGATTAGAAACAACCCTGGCCCATGTAATCTAAAGCATTCTGGAGCTAAGTAACACCAAATCAATGTTTAACTGACCTTGTTTCACTAGGCTTTCACGTTACCTTCAATAAAGACCACTACCTTGACAGCTCAGAAATAGTTAACCACCTGAGATCATGGATAGTTTCTGCCTCCCTCTTATTTATCTCTGTGCTTTGTTTTGGTTAGGAGGGAAGGGGTCAATACTTCTAGAGCACAAATTGTAGTAAAATCCTCTTGTCCTCACTATACTAACAGCTATTCTGTGTATTGTGTTTACTGACCCCGTTCGAAACATAAGTGCAAAAGGAAAGATATATATCTGGTATATGCTTTCTCTTCAGTGATTAACACATACACTGAAAATGGTCTGAAAAGCTTCTGATGAAGTTCTTATCTGTCAAACTTGGGCAAAACAATCCAAAAGCTAAATGAAACAGAGACTGTCCTTCCATTGAAAAATTACAGTCACTGATTTTCTGTCTGCTTATTTCCTGGCTCAGCAATCAGCACCCAGCCTTAGACTCGGAAGCACTAGGCCATGCACAAACCACCATCCCACTTCCTATTCCCTGCCACTCCACAAAAAAAAAAAAAAAAAAAAAAAAAAAAAAAAAAAAAAAAAGTTTTCATTTAGCCTAAGATAACCAAGCTGCATTTCAGCTTTTTGAGAAACTCAGCTACAGCCTTTGACTCAACATCCTCTAATGGCAGTGAATTCCATGCCTGGATGACACACTGCACAAAGCTAACTGCAAAATATTCAGAGTTCTGTATTCAGTGCTTTGCAGAAATAGCTTTGTATGCTGGCACTCACCCATCTCTGATGCAGTGCTGTATTCTCCTGTACTGATTTAAAGACAGATTCGTATGCTCACAAGTGTGATGAAAATGCAGATCTGACAATCAGAGGGCTGAGTTCAAGATGCTATTCTGCTCTGGGCTTCCTGCATGTTTACAGGAGAGTTTGCCCTTTCTGCTTTTATATCTGAAGAATAGGACTAAAAGCACTTCCTTTGCTTGTCACAACAGCCTAGGATGTTCATTCCTGAGGGCTTGCTTAGCATGGCAAAGCCTGAATTTTCATTGGAAACTGTGATCAAAAAAGAGCAAATTATCAAAAGCTTGAAAGAGGTAGTAGGCAATTTTTTAAAAACATTCAGAGCAGCTGCTTTTTAGAATCCTGCTAGACGCCTTCCTGCTTCCATAGATGCCAAAAAAGCAGTTACTCTTCCTTCCCTTATCTCTTACTGACAGCTCAGCTTTGTGTGGTGTTAGATCTGGAGGTACAGTGCATCACACCTCTCCTACATACACTCTCAGCAATGCTTCCACTTGGATTCTCCCATTCGGCCTGGTTTGGCAGTGTGGATGAGCAGAAGCAGATGGGGAAGCAGCAGGTGTTCTGACTTGCACAGGTTGAGGAACCTCACTGCTGTCTTTTGTGGCTGCTGAAGTAACTTTTCACAGGGAACCCGAACTGGTAGGCTCACATGTCAAAGATGGGTTGGCATGGCATAAGCAGAACCTTTTCTGCGATTGGCAGATTCTTGCCCTGTACAGAAAGCTGAAGACTTACTTGTTTTGTTCTGGCAGTTCCTTAATGAGAAAGAACAGATTCGTATTTTCATTTTCCTTTTGAGAGAAGAGAGAAAATAGAATTGTTGATCAAAACTCTTATTACGCTGTGGGGATTAAAGAAAATTTGTATTGAATGACTGTAAATCTGAAGATGAATTTAAAAATAACCATTGATTTTATGCAGTTTTGAAATAGGCTTTAAACACTGCCACTAGGTAATCTGTTTTTACACCAGACTAAGTTGAGAAAGGAGGATGTGGAAACTGCCCTCATTCCCATGTGCCATGACTGGGCAGGGGAGATGGGAAGCATGCTGTTTTAGGGCAGAGTTGAGCCTCTAAAGCATCTGCATAATCAGAAAAAAATGAAAGGATAAAATGCTAATCCACCCCACAGTGCCCAAGATGTGCTACAGAAAAAACAGCAAAAATCTTGTGTGGATGTTCCCATTGGAAGAATATACTTCTGTGTGAACTGTAATTAAAGTCCTTAGCAACAACATTTTTATGATTTTAATATCACTTCCACCTTTGATCTCTTTCATGACTGCACATTTTCTTTCCCGGGGTTTTGTCCAACTGTCTGTTTGCTATTGAGAGAAACTCCTACTCAAACAGTTTGCACTGTTCTGTGGAATGAGGAGAATTTTGCTTAGACCTGTACACCAAGTGTTTAAAATAGGTTTTGTTTCCCATTTTTCATACCAACAACAGAGCTTGAAGAGAAGTCCTGAATGATGTTGTAACAGTTTCTTCCTTCTGTGATAAAACTAGTGGATAAGCACACTTAGGTGTTTAATATACATGACTTCTTTCCCAGCAGTATCTATTTTTGCCTTCCTTTATTTGTATTAATTATTAATAAGATCTTATACAAACACTGGGGGAAGAACTCCATTCATGAGTGCTGCTGGATATAAAGATGAAAGAATTAACTTTCCCTGTGTCACTCTGGAGATGAAAATCACACAAAATGCTGTTGGAGGAGGAGGGATATATGTGAGCAAGACAGAAACACCAGAAGTATGTTCCTGTAAGACAAAAAAGCAGTTGTGGCAACAAGTTCTTGTAATATCCTGCCAAGAAGTCAGCTTTGGCAACACTAAGTTTTTCCTTTGTGAGATTGTTTGCAAGGTATGATTTCAGCATATAAGAAAGATGCTTTAGCAAAGCAAACATGAATCTAAAGAAGGGCTCTCTCGAATAACATTTCTACTTCAACTACTCAGTAATTGATAGGTAGTGATGGTCATTGGGGCTTTATATAACATACTGCTTGTGGTAAAATATTTTAAATAGCTGTCACCATGTAATTTAAGGAGACTGAATCTACTTCAAAAGCTAGGAACCTGACCTGAAAGATATGAAAAGTTGAAACTCCACTGGCCAGAGTAATGATCCCCTTCCTTACATCTTTGAGGTACCATAGGGTGTGAATGACCATGGCTGCAGCATTCCCAGCAGAAATTGAAATACACAGTGGAGCGACTCCCAGTGACCAAAAAGTTGGCAGATGACATTTCTACGGAAAATCAAAGTGCAGATGAGAAGGGAGTCCCAAATCATGATTTCAGCCTGTGGCTGGCCCCAGGGAGGTAACAGGATCGTAGAAGTAGTAGTCAGCATGGATTAAGCAAGGGAAAATCATACTTGAACAATCTGGTAGCCTCCTTTGATGTTGTAATAGCTGGTTAGGTGAGGGGAGAGGAGTAAATGTACTGTATCTTGACTTCAGCAGGTCTTTTGACACTGTCTCCATAGCATCCTCATGGGTAAGCTTAGGAAGTGTGTAATAGACAAATAGTGAGGTGAACTGAGAACTGGCTGACTGGCAGAGCTCAGAGGGTGGTGATCAGTGGAGCAGAATCTAGTTACAGACTTGTAACTAGCATTGTTCCACACAGGTTGGTGCTGGGTTCAGTCTTGTTCAACATTTTCATCAGTGACCTGGATGAAGGGATAGAGTCCATCTTCAGCAAATTTGCTGATGATACAAAGCTGGGAGAAGTGGCTTACACAGCAGAAGGCTGTGCTGCCATTCAGCAAGACCTGGATAGACTGGAGAGTTGGGCAGAGAGGAAACTGATGAGGTTCAACAAGAGCAAGTGTAGAGTCTTGCACCTGAAGAGGAATAACCATAAGCATCAGTAAAGCTTAGTGGCTGACCTGATGGACAGGAGCTCTGCAGAGAAGGACCTAGATGTGCTGGTGGACAATAGTTAGGCCATGAAAGAGCAGTCTGCCCTGGTGGCCAGAAAGGCCAATGGTATCCTGGGGTGTATTGAAAAGAGCATGGCCAACATGTCAAGGGAGGTAATCCTCGGTCTTGTCTGCCTTGGTGAGGCCACATCTGGAATACTTTGTCCAGTTCTGAGCTCCTCAGTTCAAAAAAGACAGGAATCTCCTAGAAAGAGTCCCATGAACAGTGACAAAGATGACTAGGGGCCTGGAGCCACCTCCCATACAAGGAAAGGCTGAGAGACCTGGGATTGTTTAGCCTGGAGAACACTGAGAGGGGATCTTATAAGTACCTTATAAATAAATAACTATCTTATAAATAATTTTAAATATCTAAAAGGCAGGTGTCAAGAGGATGGGGCCAGGCTCTTTTCAATAGTGTCCAGCAACAGGACAAGGCAATGGGTACAAACTAGAACACAGAAAGTTGCATCTGAACATGAGGAAAAACTTCTTTACTATGAGGGTGAGAGAGCACTAGGA